TCAGGCCATCCTCCATGATTCTTGGAGGTGGGTGGGTGTACAAAAACTGCTGAAAAAATATATAGGAAGTGACAAAAGAAGAACAGGGCACATTATTAGCTGAATTATGGTTATTCTGATATTTTGATTGTGTAAATATGTCAAATTTCTTCATCACTTTAATTTGTAATTTATTAATATTTCAGTACATTATTGTGCTTAACAAATCATGCTAAAATAAACATCCTGACTGAGACTTAATTTAAAAGAGAGGGTCAACACCTACATAAAAGTGGTAAAATGACAAAAAACATTCTCCGGCAAACTGAAAAATCTTGAATGTCAGCTGCGAAAGCATGGAAAAAGTCTAGAGAACCATAACAGGCATACCATGGTGCTAAGTGACATTCTGTACTATATGTGTGATGCATGGTTGGGACTCAGAATAAGTATTCACTCTCATGCCCTGACAGTATTTATGCATTTTTGGTCATAAGCTTCTTATTTTTGACAAATTCTTCATAAATTTTGTTTGTACATTACTTTTATTAGACAAATTTAACTCATTTCATTATTTCTATTCCTCCACTCCAGTAATAAATGAATCACTTAAGGTGAATAAAATGAAAGTAAACCCAGTCTCTGTAAAATTTAACACTTTTTAAAAACATGTTTTACTTCTTCACATTTTATCGCAGTTGTCGCTTTTGTTGAAAACTCATTCGCAAACCCAGAATTAGTCTTTTCTTGAAAAGATCAGCCTAAAGTGCTTTCACGGCAAAGTCTGAATACACTATAATTGACTGCGGTCAGGTGGTGCACAGAGTTTAAAGTCATCTAAAATAAAAAACCAACATTTTCTAACTTCTTTCTACATGTCAGATGCATAATCTTACTTTGAAAGTCATAATTTGGAGTTTTGAGGGTGAAACATAACATATTATTAGTATTTTACATAGAAATCTGTATAAATTAATGTCAACCCTGCTTCTAAATTTAAAAATGTGTGCTTTCACACAGAAAGTTCATAAAATGACATATTTTGTTGAAATATGCCTTCATAAAATTAAAACCGCCTTTAATATGGGGGTAGATGATTTTACACGATCACCTTCAAGGTATCACACCGGTAATTGTTTTCACTATGTAATTCTATATAGAATAAAAAATCATTAAAAATCAGGTATTCGAATTCATGAAAAAATATTTAGCAGGAAGTGTTAAACGTTACCAGTCACATCAGCTGACACCAAAAAATAGGGTACCTACACGGCATTTTCTGATTTTTTCCATCCGCAAACAGGAATACCCTCAAAACCACGTGTATTCAATGTGTTTATAAACATCCTGTGTGCGCCCCAGGAAGTGGCCTCCTATGCCCCGAAAGAAATAGTTCCTGTCAAAAACCTTTAATATTTTACAAAGTACATAAAATATCCTAAGCACAGATACCAAAAATGTAAAAATAGAATAAGGGAAAATACAAAATTTCTCACAATAAAAAAAATATTTCTTTATTATGTATGGAACTACAATTGACTAAGTTCATTTTGATTGGTCAATTACCGGTGTGATACCTTGAAGGACCTATGAAGTTGTCAGATTTTTTTCATTTTTGCACCTGAGATTTCTTAAATAACTGTCACTAACATCCTGAAGTCTGGGGATCTAATTCCCATTATTGCTGGAGATATGATGCATTTATCTCCCTTACTCCACAGCAGTCAAGAATACACACTGAGCACTCTGACAGAAGATTTTTGTGCATATTTTGAAGCAGAATTTCATCCTTAATAGACTAAGCCTGGCAACCAATTTTGTATCCGTGGAGAGTATATGCACTGTTCTTCACAACAAACAAAAAATAATTCACAAGTCTGAGACCATTATGCAATTATTACATAACAAAATTGCATTTTACCCTCCTAAGAATGACAGAATTTACAGAAATTGTTAAATATTAGGCTGATAATAAAATCTGCATCTGGTCAATTTATGTTCCAAATAAAGCCTAGGTACTTGTCTACAACCTGCTATGCAGAAGTTTATCTAAAAGCTGTGTTGTAACACAGGGCAGTCCAAATGATATCAGCATCTGGGGAGGTTCTGGACAGCTCTGACACTCCATTAAACTTGCTTTGATGATAAGAAAATGGAGAAAACAATTCAGATGTAATTTATTGTTGTGATTTATGTAACTGGCTTTCTCTGCAGACACAAATTAGCCATGAAATTCCAATTGAACATACATAATTATCCTCTTTTCATTGAATTACTCAGGAATTTCAAAGGTGTTTGATGAATTTGCATGATTAATTCAAGATTACAGCTTTTTGTTTCACCAAATTTACATAAAAATTCAACATTTAAATTTAAAAATATAAATCTTAAACATTTTTATGGGTCTTAACACTTTTAAATGTGAATAAATGCAACAAAGAAACTAATATCAGGCCATCCTCCATGATTCTTGGAGGTGGGTGGGTGTACAAAAACTGCTGAAAAAATATATAGGAAGTGACAAAAGAAGAACAGGGCACATTATTAGCTGAATTATGGTTATTCTGATATTTTGATTGTGTAAATATGTCAAATTTCTTCATCACTTTAATTTGTAATTTATTAATATTTCAGTACATTATTGTGCTTAACAAATCATGCTAAAATAAACATCCTGACTGAGACTTAATTTAAAAGAGAGGGTCAACACCTACATAAAAGTGGTAAAATGACAAAAAACATTCTCCGGCAAACTGAAAAATCTTGAATGTCAGCTGCGAAAGCATGGAAAAAGTCTAGAGAACCATAACAGGCATACCATGGTGCTAAGTGACATTCTGTACTATATGTGTGATGCATGGTTGGGACTCAGAATAAGTATTCACTCTCATGCCCTGACAGTATTTATGCATTTTTGGTCATAAGCTTCTTATTTTTGACAAATTCTTCATAAATTTTGTTTGTACATTACTTTTATTAGACAAATTTAACTCATTTCATTATTTCTATTCCTCCACTCCAGTAATAAATGAATCACTTAAGGTGAATAAAATGAAAGTAAACCCAGTCTCTGTAAAATTTAACACTTTTTAAAAACATGTTTTACTTCTTCACATTTTATCGCAGTTGTCGCTTTTGTTGAAAACTCATTCGCAAACCCAGAATTAGTCTTTTCTTGAAAAGATCAGCCTAAAGTGCTTTCACGGCAAAGTCTGAATACACTATAATTGACTGCGGTCAGGTGGTGCACAGAGTTTAAAGTCATCTAAAATAAAAAACCAACATTTTCTAACTTCTTTCTACATGTCAGATGCATAATCTTACTTTGAAAGTCATAATTTGGAGTTTTGAGGGTGAAACATAACATATTATTAGTATTTTACATAGAAATCTGTATAAATTAATGTCAACCCTGCTTCTAAATTTAAAAATGTGTGCTTTCACACAGAAAGTTCATAAAATGACATATTTTGTTGAAATATGCCTTCATAAAATTAAAACCGCCTTTAATATGGGGGTAGATGATTTTACACGATCACCTTCAAGGTATCACACCGGTAATTGTTTTCACTATGTAATTCTATATAGAATAAAAAATCATTAAAAATCAGGTATTCGAATTCATGAAAAAATATTTAGCAGGAAGTGTTAAACGTTACCAGTCACATCAGCTGACACCAAAAAATAGGGTACCTACACGGCATTTTCTGATTTTTTCCATCCGCAAACAGGAATACCCTCAAAACCACGTGTATTCAATGTGTTTATAAACATCCTGTGTGCGCCCCAGGAAGTGGCCTCCTATGCCCCGAAAGAAATAGTTCCTGTCAAAAACCTTTAATATTTTACAAAGTACATAAAATATCCTAAGCACAGATACCAAAAATGTAAAAATAGAATAAGGGAAAATACAAAATTTCTCACAATAAAAAAAATATTTCTTTATTATGTATGGAACTACAATTGACTAAGTTCATTTTGATTGGTCAATTACCGGTGTGATACCTTGAAATTCATCTTTAAGCAGTGATACTTTTCTTATGAATGCATGTTTGTCCTTTCTTTGAATGTTCAAACACAAAACTAACTATAATACTAGTCACTTTATTGGATGCATCCACATAACTTCATGTTTATGTGAAATATCTGGTTCCTTATAGGTATAAAAAACGGATGCAATTACAATGTTAAATTTAAGGGGGTCGACTGGGGTTTTCATTGTGCAATACTTCGCGCAGCATAGTAAAATAAAGCGTATTTACTCCTTTAAAGCAACTATTTTTACATAATTTATAAAAATTAACAAATTCAGGAAATCTCAGGTTAAAAAATCTAATTACCTTTTTAAATTACTGATTTTTTGAATGATTTTTCAAATGATGGGTAGATAGACGTCGTAATAGTGTGTTTTTGACGTTATGAATAACCAAGATTCTTTAAGCGAGATCATTAATTATGCCATAAAATAAAAAGTATAAAATGCATGCTTTTGAAATTTTAAACACAGGAAATTGAGAATCTAACAATCATTTTTAGTACTTTTTATGTAAATCTGTGGTATCTGTCATGTTTTGTTCTATATAAACAGGAAAATATCATGAATTTTGACATTTTTAGATGCCCCCTCTGGAAACTAGACGGTAGAATTTTGTGTTTCTTGCACAAAATGTACAATATAGTATTACCCATCAAATAATATAATTTCAGCAAAAAGTCTATTGTAGCATTTGTATAATTTGCTCCGAAGTGCGAAAAAATGGAATTTTCCTATATACTCCTATAGTAAATGTACCTGTATTTTGAGATGGTCCCTAAAAAATAACCAAACGGTAGATTTTCACTAAACTTGGAAAGTATACTGAAGTCAATGTAAGGTGCATATGGTATAAAATTAAAGAGTTTCTCTATAGTAGTTTTCACACAACAAAACCCCAGTCGGCTCCCTTAAGGGAAAGCCTCATTACATATTCTAGATTTAAATGCACCTTTTTAATGACAAGAAATGCAAGGTAAAACAGGAAATGTTTGACGTTTACTTTCAGATGCTGCAAGAAGATAAGAACGTAGGATGGAATGGTAATAATTCACACATTCCCCTGAATCTAGAAAACTGGAATACACATATGTCATGGATCTATCTTCCGTCATTGGTTCTGGTGACCCTGTGCTCTGTGATGGGTCTTATCGCGAACTCGGCAGTCATACTCGTTTTTATAGCACGACTTCGTCACTCCCGCGATGACCGATACTTCATACCTTACCTATCAATCGTTGACTTTATCGGCCTCGTCCTTAATATGGTTGCAATATGGACACAATATTACAGTAGTATAATGGATGGGGATGGTTTGGCTCTGTTGTGTAAATTGTTTTGGTACCTCTGCTCTGTTATTGGATGTTTGTCTGCATTTATGTTGATTGGTATTGCCGTTCAGAGGTATTTGAAAATCTGCAGACCTTGCGGAAAGCAAATGACATTAAAATATAGGCGACTATTATTAATTGCTGCTCTCCTCATATCGACAACCATTACAATACCAATTCTACCAATTTACGATGTTGTTCCAATATATAGTTCTAGATTCAATGCTACTGGTTACGTTTGCAAACAAGATCAAACCCATTGGCACAACAGTGAGTCCATCATCTACAACATATTACTTTTCTCTCTCGTCTTTGTTAATATTTCATGCTTAGTGATTCTGTACAGCCTAATTGGAAGAACAATTTTTCAGCAAACGAACCTGAAAAAGAAACGACGAACAAGTGCCAAAAGAAGAATCGGACTGCTCAAACAAGAAACTAACATCGACTTAGAATTCCCGACCATGACAAACCAAGGAGAGGAAACATCAGAACGATTCCAAACTGATGACCAGCTTGAACATTGCGACTCCAAATATTCACACATTATTCAAACGGACAAAACGGCGAGCACAAAGTCTTTAGGGCGGTATTACCGGAAGCTGAATAGAAGAACGGACCAGTTTACGTGCATGTTCATGACAATAACTGTTGTTGCTATGGTGAGTTACATTCCTAAAGCTACTTTGCTGATTGTTGAGTCCTTGGATGCCACTTTCTGGGATGGTCTCTCCGATAATTTTCGGCGATTTGTTGAGGTGATCTACAGACTCCATGTTCTCCACCACACCAGTAACGCTTTTATCTACTGTTCTTTCGACGCACGGTTTCGGTCTGAGATCAAGAATACCCTAAATCTGATACATTTAATGAGAAACTGATGTTATGAACGCGAAAAAAAATGAAGAGAGAATGAGTATCTTAAGACTCATAACGGGAATAAAAGTATATCTTTGAGAGACTAATGGGCTGAGACCAAAAGAATACATAAAAAAGGCTTTGAATTCAATAAAACAATAAATTTGTGAACAGGGAAAAGTCAGACCCCTGAAAACACCAGTGGTTGGATCAGGTAAAATGGAGGATTAAACAGCCTTCTCAATCGGGCACACCCGCTGTGAACCCTTTGTCTTGATCGTGTGTTAGACCAAACCCACATCCTTGATGACTCTGCCTATTACAGCGTTCTGTAATAGCTTTTAGTACTCAGGATGTAACAAAAATGGCGAAAAGCAATTGCTGCAGACCATGAATAGGGTGAACTTACACCCTACTTTAAATCCTGTCGGGACCACTTATTTTTTTGTTTCGTACATATCTTAGCCAAATGTGGAATCTTAATCAATAGATGATTTAGTTCATCTGCTTTATGAAAACTGTATCTATTAGTGATTATAAATGTATGATACTCAACAACAAGTGTATATAATAACGAGACTGGTGGAACCATAGACTTAGAGTTTTGCTGATTGTCTGCAATTCGACCTTTCAGTTCAAAAATCACTTAAAGACCCTGATGATTTGTTCATATGTGTCATTAATAAAACATCCATTATTAATAAAAAGCACAAACAAGAATTTTATTTGTTTGATTTTCATCCTAGAAATAGTAAACTGAAGTGAAACAAGGTACAACTACAAAACACGGCATTTATATACTAGGTTGCTGCGTTTGTTGCTTAGTGCAATTTAGACTATTAGTAAGTTTTGACATTGTAGATGTTAAGTGTCATGAGACATAGCTTCTAGAACAGAGAATGAAAATATTTTATGTAAGCAGAACGAAGAAAACGATTTATTTAGACAGCCTTAATAAGACGGGGGAACCATCAGAAAATGAAGCCAGTGCGAGTTTTGATATCCTATCATTGATAAGACTATCATGAAATCATAGGGGTTTTTTTTTAAACCGCAGCGTTTTATGGAAGAAAGCACTGCTCAAACAACCTGTTTGTTCCTTAAACTTCAATTTGCCAACAAAGGAATTGACGCAGTTAATATAAGTAATCTTCTGAATCGCAAAAAGGTCCA